TTGGGCGAAAGATTTGCTTTCTGGCGCATTTGTTACTAGCTCGGTGATTTGGGTGAAAAACATCAACCAAGCGATATCGGACATTTGAGCGGATAGGAATGACCAGTCGGTTTCTGGTAAGAAGTTTGGCAGATTACCGTAATGCTTAACGACCTAAGTGTCGTCGTTTTTCTCACCGATGTACCCGTATGTAGCAGAAGCAACTAAGTCGCAAAATTGTTTGATCACTACGGCCAAATGGACACCTTTTGCCCATTAGTTCCGTTTGATGAGCCCAAGGTGCAAGCAGGGAGTGCTTCACCCGTTCAGAATCGCGTGCCTGAGGTGACTTGGTTGTGCAGAGGTACACCGGCAAGCACCTCTTTCAAAGCATCCTTGAATTGTTTGCTGTACGATGCTAGAACTTCGATTGCATGATGGCTAAAGCCCCCAGCAGAGGCAAGTGATGTCGTGGTCGTGCGAGATATCGCCTTATCGCAGGAGCTAGACAGTGATCAATTTTCAACGTGGAAGTTGGTAGGCTGTAAACTATTGATACAAAACACACATCACCACGCCTTAGAGTATACGACGCCAAAGGGATTCGACGACTTGCGGTTCTGGTTCGGCAATGATATTAACATGCCAGTCGGTTCAATAATACTGGGGCACTTCGCCTCCTCTGCTATGTCGATCGTGTCGTTAGAACTCACGCAAACTAGAGCAATCTCAGCATCAGTGATCACTGTGTTCAGCCGTGTTTCCGTGAAATAAACAGGTCCAAAGATGTAGAGATCTGAAATATACAAGTTTTGGTTAGCTTTCTGCAAATGATCTTTGGCATTGGTATACAAAATATGATGGCATCGATGAATAAAAAATGTTTTCGTATGCTTATTTCCGGTGCGGGTCTATGTGGACTTTTGCCAAATCGGCTGCCGGTCGTTCTTTTGTAGGATTGACGATGCAATAAATTAGACCATTTCACTGTAACGGGGCTACCGTACTTCAGCTACCGGAATCTTTTGACATTGTCACCTTTCTGAGCTGCATGATGACGAAATGGTACTGGTAAGCTGCCAGCTCAACGTTACTTTGTCTATTTGTGGTCCGGTGCCTATCGTTTCTATACGTTGTTCGGATGCAAGCATTTAACGCGTTGTGTACCACATTTTATCTATACGTTCTGCCATTCGTTAGAAGTGCAATGAAACATTCATCATTAGCGGACCATACACACTTGCGTTAGCCGATAATGGTCACATTATGTCAAAGTAGCGGTAACATTTCCAGCATACGTACTTCACGAATAAAACGCCCCTCATAAAGTGATGGGCTTTGGTCTCTAGCTCGCTTAATATCTGGAGCTCTGAGACACCATGAACAAAGATAGACTATACCTCGGGTTGTATGTGGAGCCGGAGGCAACGTTAATCATATCGATTAGCTTTTTGGATTCACACTGAGCGGGTTTATGCAGCCGTTAGATACAACGAACAGGATTATCAGTAAAAAAAGATCACCAGCCATCGTTTACCTTTTAAGTCGGTTAGCATGGTTTGTTCTGCAAAAATCCCTGTCAGGTTATTACGAAGGTATATGGAAAGCCACCGCCACGTTTGTATGAGCGCTCTCCTCGGAAACGTGTATTCATACGTTAAGCTTAGGGTCATTAATTTCCGCTGTGCACCAAGTTTTAATATAAAAAGCAATATCGGGGGATTTCTTAAACCTAATTTTTGCAATTACAAGGGTGTGGATAAGCTGTGTTTCTGCATCTTTATATCTCAAAACTGTGTGCTTTGAAGTAGCTGCGATATAATGAGCTCTACGTGGCGCCGGATTAAATGGAGCAGGTACTTCGGTAATTGGATTACTCCCTATTTTCTGAGAACAAGTGGTAATGGATGGATTGGTGGGAAAGCAGGTAGTAGAACAAGGTAGTCAAAAATGAATTACACTTGATCAATACAGTGGCCAACCAAAACTAGTGTCTTTAAAGCGATTTTTTTCGTATTGTGTTGTTGTTACTGGTGTATACCACGGAGCGGTGTTGGGGGTTTGGAATTGAAGTACAAACCGAATGCACACTTTGTGTGTAAGTCTGTGAGGCCTACCACTATTTCGTTTGATATTACGGTATTGCACGCCTAAAGGTTTTGACAGTTTGGAGTTGCTTTAGTCGGATTCATAGTCAGAGGTAATGTGGATAATTATTGGGCCGGCTCCATGCTACTTATCCCGATATCCATGCCATTGATGCATGCGGCTGCCTTAATAGATCCAAATTACATTAGTTGGTCTACTAAATGAATTTTCGCTCATGTATTGGTCGCCTCAGATATGCGGAGCTTTAAATCTTTCTGGAAGGGTTTCCAGGGGGTTATTTCTGCTTCACTTGCTTACTCTTCGGTTAGTCGGAAAGAAGCCATCGCCTGCTTCATTTGGGTCGGATTTAGATTGGTTTCCTTAATGGCAAGATGACGATCTGAATTTTGGTCTTGCGCTCAATATGTCCAAGGTAAGTCTGCTGCCGATGTTTATAACGGTACCAGAATAGGGGCAATGGGAAAATGAGTTAGATGTGTAACCATCAGTTTTCAACTTAGTAGCCACAATTCAACTCAATTGAGATTCTTGGTATGGACACACCAAAAATTCTGTTTGCGGAAGTCGTATGAAGCCGCTGAGGACTGGAAAACCAGTCATCCTCTATTTTAGACGATAGTTGACTTGTCAAAGCCGACATTGTTGACGGCAGCATCAATACCGGCTTCATCAATATAAAATAGAGGGTGCGTCGGGCAGGGTTTCGTTTCAGTTTTAATTGCCTTCGCACTAGCGTTTTATCACGTTTTGGTTAGAATGTTTTGCATTTAACTTGTACTAGAACTAATATTTTATTACTTACGAATTTTGATCTACTTAACTTGTCTGGAAGCATTCGTAGTATCAAATATGAGGATGTGTTGCACCTTCTCCTCGGTCTGAGTTATTGGAAAGGAACTCCATCCACATTGTATGCTCTTAAAGACGTATTTGTTACTCTGTCGATGTTCAGTTGAGCAAGTATGTTGAAAGTGATGACATTCTGCGATCCACGAGACGTTCTTACGTTTCGGTTATAATAAAATTTGGTGAGGAAACAGCTGTAAACACTCGGTCAAGTATAAGATTTGCTAAACCCCTAAGCATTCACATAGTGATGGAATAAGATGGTAATTTTGTCAACTAAATAAATTTTGTATTTCCACTTAGCTGCTTATTCCACATGTGTTATAACCCTGCTTTCCCTTTCGGGAGATCGTAGTAATGTTGAAAAGATTCACAGCTACATCCGACTTAGTTCGGAGTCTAGGCCATGGAGGTCTCCAATTTACCGTTATAACGGGTAGATTTAAAGAATGGCTTCTGCGGGTTATATTGTATTAGCTGGTTACACCCTCAACTAAATTAGCGGGCTTTTCGTTTGTACATTACTTACAAGCTGTTTTATCGTATATTAAAAAGGATGTACAGGGTTAATAATTGTAAAATTTTCTTAAGAAACCAGCTTCAAGGGAAAGCTACTCACCAGGAATGTACACCGCTCTTTAAATCTAACAACTAAAGGATACGTAGTAATAAAATACCTGGAAAAAGATAGTTTACTTCCCTTACCTTTTGAGAATATTTATTTAAACATTGTAGCCAAAAGAATAAAACTGAAACTGCAATACTTTTTATGTTTACTTGTGACAATTCTGTTTCGTAAAGGTTGCCTCGCTAACAATAATTTGTACTCACTTGCGAAGTTATGACTTCACAATATTCCATCATGCCTTTTGGTTGTTTATAACCAGACGTTTGTAATGTTATTTTTGAGGCTTTAAACCTTTACCAATTTGCTGTGTAATTGCGTTATAACGCACTCATCATCAAGCAAACTGTGAGTGTCAAACTTAAGAGCGATCGTAAGATTGTTAGTTGTAACTTAGAGCAGGGAAATAACTACGTCATACAATAATTATTTTAAGATGAAAACGGTTTGAAGAACCGCTGTGAACTCAGCGTAATCTTTGGTGATTAAAATGCAGGCATCATTTGGATTAGTTTTACTGACCAAGGAACAGTTTGAAAGCATGCCTTCCATCTCTATCTGATGAGATGAAACAATAACGTAACGGGTCATGTGATTGCGGCATTTTCGAGAAGGTTACAGCAAGTTTCTATCTGCCTGCATTTGCTTTGGTGTACAAAATGGGTAAAAAGTTAAACAAAATGCGCTTAGGAATAAGCTGGATGAAATGTGCGGATCTGGAAGATAAAAGAAGTAGCAAACTAACTCCTTATGCATATGACATTAGAATTTTACTGAAGCAGATATTGTGTTAAGCCAAAATTAATGTTTTCTTTGTATCCGAAAGAAAAATGCCAAACATTATTATCTCAACATTCGTGCCATTTTGTAGTAATAGATCAGTAATTTATTTTACTTTGAGATAGCCGAAGCGATTACTTACCTATCACTGTTTAACTATAAACAGTTCATGAACCTTCTATAATAATAATTGGTTACAAATTTCTGTTACCCATTCTAAGCAGTGGAGTTTACGTACCAGTTTTTTATTTTAGCACGATATATTATATCAAGCGGGACGCTTCTATGAACCACCCTGTCAACAGCTGCAGAGTTATTCAATTCATTACACATATGACTGATACCCGGATAACGTTGCGAGCTAAAAACGTTGTACTTCATTTCGTCATATATAACCAATAGCTCAGCGTTATTTAAGTACTAGGCTTACATTTATCCGGGCACCTTACTTGAGGTCAGACTTATTTTACCATAAAACACACATTGTAGTGTTACGGACACGCCGGCCACAATGTGCCAATCAGCATTTTAGTAAGTTATACTAAAGGTGCACATCCATGTTTCATTCGCTAGATTTGAATGTTTTCACTAAGATAAAAAGCAGAGAGCAACAGCATTGGGGAATTTTTCTCTCGACGCGTGTTGCCGTTCGAAAGTGAAAATGAACAGTGTGTTCATTCTAGTTTTGTCAATCTGCTGTACTTACGGTCTAGCCTCTGAACAAGGTAAGTCGACACATTTAGGAATTGTGCATGATATTGAGGCGCATAGCCTTAGCTAGTATTTTATATGTAAACAGTGCTACTACCATTTAGGTTCAATGAAGCACGGAAAAATACAAAATGTCTGTAGAACACTGATGCCGTTAACAATGAACTACAGCACCTATTACAGTATAACTAAGGGATTTACACTTATCGTTAAGGATAAACACTTTATGACAAAATGTTTTGGAGTGGATGGAAATTGGGTAATGCCCGCCGGAAAACACTGCAAAACCAAGACACGTTTCGATGTGATTTCATCTCATCAGGTGGAGGTAGCTAGCTTCGAACCCGCGAGCATGAGAATAGTAGACGGAGTGAATTAATAATTGGTGATCAGGTAATGAGGCATCACAATAACTTGCTACAACATCTACAAATGAACTGCAATTAAGCTGGGAGTTTATGCACTGTAGAAAATCTGATGTGACGAAACTGCTCGTCTCAAATAAAAAGGATAGTTTATAACTTGTTTGCGGTTTATTTTTTACCCAAATTTTATGGATGTATTCATGCAGGAATGAAAGTGTTAAAGTTTTAAGCAAAACGACTGATGCGAACTCACTGTGTAAGCTGCATAATGCAAATGGAAGTAACGGAGGTTGGAAAGTACATCAACTTCCACCCATCAATTTGCAAAAGTTTATCAGCAACTTTCCTGTAGTTTATTCCGGAGAAAAAATTCATTATACCACAAGAATGATATGATTAATGTCATTGCATGTTCGGATTAAATCAGAAAAATTTTGTATATTTCATTTGATGCTTGTAGAAATAACAACGTTTTACAATGGTAAGTTACTGATAGTTGTCATGCGGTAACAAATACTAGAAATGCTTAAATACATTTAGTATCACATCTTAAATTAATTAAGTACATGTTTTACACTCCTTACCTAGGTAAAAATTTCAATTGTAACTTGTATTGAAATAAGGCGCAAGTCGGTTATTATAGATCGTTCTCGTTATATTTTCCATCACCTACTGTCGGGACCACTGACTGTTGTCTGCAAAGAATGCAACAGCCGTGGATATTGAATTATACCTAAAAGTTCTTTGGATTCAGCGACAAATATCAACCATATTGCAATGAGCATCTATAGACGAAAGCCCTGTTTTTATATTTTACTTTTAAAACAAAGCTTCGTACTTAGATAAGCTTAGCTAAAAGGACGTTAAATCCGTTTTCAAAATATGTCTGCAATTAAATGAAGCAAATGCAAGTCTTTGACATTATGATTATCGGAATAACTTTATTTTTGCTTTACGATCATCCTTATAGTTAAAACATTATGAAACTTTACACAAAATTCTTTAACATACCTGTTTCATGTCTTCTTGCTTTTTTGGAACAATTATGCATATTCATGTACGGCATTTTAACCGCCGTTAGTTTAGCTTTCACCCACGTTTTATCCATAAGTTCAACTGCGCGTTAGGATACATTACTTTCTCCCATCGACTTCCCTTTCTTGTCTGGATTGATATAAGTCTTCGGAAACTGTATAAATGGTAGGCAATTTGATCGGGTACATGAACCATGTAACCAGTTATCATAGGACTGCTGCTGTAGAACCTCAGCTTTAGTCCAGGATGTTTTTAAACATGCATTGTTACAGCTCATATAAATTAATATTTTGACAACAAATAAGTGTGCTACGCAAATCCAAGTATTATTTTAGCCATGAAACAGGCAATTTTATATCTTGACGTCACAAGCCTGAGCCAGATGACTAATTGTAGATGCACCATTCTTGATAATAAGTGGAAACCTATTTGAGCATTTTAGCCACGGTCGCAGTTCACCGAATACAACAGTGAACACATTAAGCGGACAATGAATAATCAAAACCATCAGGGACGCATTCGTTGCCATGTATCCATGCTGGAAAGAAACTTGTAGAAACGTATCAGAATAATGAAGTATGTCAACGAGGCAAGCTTCCTGCGGTGGCAGACAGTTTGAGATTTCAATGTAATGGAATGCAAAATGAAAGGTACTATTTCTATGGAAAGGACAACAGAAATGACTTGACTCTACCTGTTACGGCATATGCATGTGCGAGTTAGCAGCATCTTTAATCAAGTACGAAAAGTGTTTGGGTACGCTTACATTTTAAGTTTTCTGCATAGTTTAATCAACACGTCGGTGTTTACCCCATTCTATGAGTTCAACGATTACTGTTATCGACCTTTGTGTGTTCCCGAAAAGCGCACGAATTATTCATAATTATGATTCTGCGTTACATGAAATTAAGCTGCTAACTGTCTACGTGGGCTTGTTAAGGGTGAATGATAAGTTTGGATTCTGGCCTCACTTTTGCTGGATTCGCCCTGCTCGCGTTACCTAGACAGTCTTGGTGGTACTCATGAGTAGATAGATTTGTACTTATCATTTATCTCATTGCAATGGGATTACAGAGTAGTTAGTTTAACTATTAATCATAAAAAGCAGTAGACGATCTGCTTTTCCTAGTGGGACCCATCTGTGGTGCGCAATCGTTCGGTCCCTTACTGGGGATCGAACACAGGATTGCTAGTGGCTTGCCCCACTAGCCACCGAGCAATAATGAAAGTAGCAGATCACCCGGCATTGAAGTCCTAATGTTAAACTATTCTGGCTTATCCATCTGCGCCTTGTAGGTCGCGGGTCGCGCAGATAACAGTGTTTGGCTGTCACGCGTCAAGAATTCCTTGCCAATTTTTGTGAATAAATGTAACATTATTACGGGCGCATAGCCAACTTTTGACTAGTCGCGAATTAACCGAATCTCACGAATTCATTCTACTAATAGAGATTCCAGAATGGACCCAACCGCATCCAAAATAATTTGTGCATTCATGGCTGCAGGTAAGAATGCCCAGACACCTGACGTCCAATCACTACCTTGATCACACACAGAAGGTGGCATGCAAGTGGAGGCTGAGTCGGGCAGTATAGCGGTCAGACTGTAATCAATGATGAAGGATTATCATCTCCAAAGCTCATTGGCATGACCAGTAACCCAAGGGTGCATGTTACTATCCGATATATATTAGATTTCTTGCCCGATAGGGAGGAATTGCGCACCACTTACGAGTCCTAGAAGACATCCCAATCGTTTGCACGTTCCTCGATTGCCTTTGACCTATCTGGCTTGTAACGTAATTGAGATGAAATAAAGAATTCAAGAGTATTATAATTGCTGAAATTAGTTCAAGTAAACTTAGGCCAAAATAGCTTTATTATTCCTTAGATGTTCATTTTAGGTGGTCGCACGACCAGCGTGGACAAACCGGATGACCATAAGAATACACAGAACTAGGAAAAAAATGCAAAATATGCACAAGCGCCACTCTAGCAACCGCTCGCGCTATATACTTCCGACTTCCACTGCGTCAAAAAGCATAGGTGATATTTTAAAGAAAGACCTTAATACCATGCGTTGACGTGCGTTGGAAGAAAATGTTGATATTTCAGTGTGAAAGCAAGAGAGCCTTTTTAAAGTTGCAGTGAGAAATAGTTGAATTCAGTCAGTTAGTAAATTCAAAGATGTATTGTATGCAGTAAGATGGCTATACATGAACAAACCAACTAACTAATCACTAAACTAGCCGTTTCATCTAAAAATGCACTTTATAAAACCTACCAATAGTTTATGGTTTTTCTGACGCGGTATATGGTATGGTTAGAAATTCGGTGCAAATAAACGCACCCAGACGACTATCATACGCCCGGAAAAACCATGTACGCGCGTCTCATCCTCTCAAAATTCGTCAGCAGTACGCCTTCCATCAGACCCTGGTTGTGTTCGAAGTCGCAACTAGACCTTTGCTAGCCCGTGGTTCAGATCACCGAGCCGTGTGGGACGGCCACGACCATCGTAAATAAGTTACAAGATGTGATATAGCGCCACCCACTATTCGCAGATTTAGACGTTACTGTCGTTCTTATAATGCCATAACTTAATTGGCAGCGTAAGTTTTATAAGTTCGTCGCTTGATGAGGGGGCATCCCTGTATTCTGCATTGTAGTAACGTGGAAGTCACTGAATAAGGAGCGGCATTATATCGCATCTAGTAACTTAATCACGATGGCCGTTGTCGTCTTCCGCAGCTCAGTGGTCTCAACCACAGATTGGTAACAGTTGAGTTGTGTGTTTGAGCCCTACCAGAGTCGTATGGAATTCACACTGCTGTGGACACCCAAAAGGATGATGATGAGTTACTAAATGTAACTTGCACCTCCACCTACCACTCCTCTGTAATCACCGTAAGGAAGTTGGAAAGTCAGCAGTATAACTAATAGGAAATAAGTAAAGAGGTCAAAAACCTGAATTTTAATGTACGGGATACTGAAAGCACATTTGGTTTGAGCGCATAAAAACAGTTTTCTTTATTTCGTAACGTTTAACAGAAACAAATTATAACAAGGTTTATGTGAAAAAATTGAGCTAAGGTACTTGCCAGTGGCTGACCTAGTTATCGGGTTTTTTCCTTGAGGGACTGCAATTTATTGCCAAGAAGCAAAGAGAAATTGCATCAATTCATTTAGTAACGGCAAGTCTAAAACATCCGGATGTGGACCACACCACCAGATCTTCCAACACAAACTGAATTAATGAGGTACCCAAAGGTGTATTGGCCATACATTTCCGAATAACATCGCTAGTATGTTTGCATTCTATAATTGTGCCTGGTGTTGGGAATACTCAGGAAGTAAGTATCCTAGAAAGGTTGATAAGATCGCTCTTTTTAAACAACACAGTCGGCACGGATAGAAAAGTACTTCTTACCGTTTAAATTTTTGCAGTAACAAATCAGTAAAATATTCACGTAAGATTTAACACGCACAAGGATTAACCCTATTTACGGAGACCAGGCTTAGCACCATTGACTTGTATTTGTTTTCAGAAGCATTGGGATAAACAAGTAAAACAATTGGGACGGATTTAACATCCTGGTTCAATACCGACGCTACAACATATGTTGCTGCATCCGAAGTAGAGCACTGGAGTACATACACAAAATGGTAGATTAATTCCTCAGGTGTAGTATTAAAAATACACGGAAAAACACTTTTCGTAAGCTATTGGCAGCAATTATGTCCATGAAACTGTACAATCAAACTGATATATATTTGGGCACTGAGATTTTACAGGTAGTTTTTAAATGTCCGTGGTCTCATCAGCAGTTAGGAACTTTTTATGGCGAGCTATTAAATTTCTTGTGAAAGAATCAACACACTACTTCAACAGTAATCGTGAGATGGTATCCGGACCACTTGCTTTGTTTGGATTTAATCTAATGCGTTGCTTGTGAATGTTACTTTGAATGAAGGGCGCAACTACGTTTTTGCTAATGAAGTCGGGTACATCTAATGCGACAGAAAAAAACCTCAGAATTGACTTTACTTACACAATGTTCACGGCTCTGGCTACAGGCGTTGTTAACACGAAGCTGTCTCGAAATCTTCCACGATTAGGATCGCCTAGAAACGTCGGTCTTTTAATCGGTTTGGCAGTCTTGTCTCGGTTTCTAATAGATGTGATCATGCTCTGGACACTAGTAGCCATCTTGAAATTGTAAGTCCATTATTGCATTCTTTAAAGTCGCTTCAGCCGTGGTGATGAAGATCTAGCCGCCCTTAGGTACATCGTTTCAAAAGCGCAAGCCAATTGTAAGCGATATTTGACGTAGTCTACAAAATGGGTACAACAAAGTGATAGGCACTAGTCACTGAAAACTGAAAACTAGTTAAAGAGAACCTCATCAGGATCCGTGTAAGATTTTGCGGGAATGATTTCGACTTTA